GAAATAGTTTCTTCTTTGCTCTTTTCCATGCCAAATCTGCTTCCAAACTAAAGCAAAGGAAGTGTGCTATATAAATAAGTGAATGTACAGATAAGTTTTGAGAAAACCAAGACAAAAGCCACAGAAACAAGTGGGTATTATTATTTTTTTTTTTTAAATTGTTCTTCTGGCTGTGTCCTCCTTCAAAAAGGCTAGAAAAGGTGAAGAAAATATATCATTTGTCTCCTCAAATGTCACTTGCTCAGTACTGGGTGTTGGGGTTTCTTATTCCCTGCAAAGGTTGGTAAAGAAACGCTCCATGCTGGCGATGTTTTCTGTTTGCTTCCTTTGCGTCGGTGTTCACAGTGCCAGCTTCATTGGGTGTTAACTCCAACACACTAGAAGTTCATCTTAGACTAGTTTACAAAAAAAAAAAAAAAAAGAGGAGAAAAGTTGACTGTTGTCTTTGCTAGTTCAGCTCAATTGTAGCCAGTTGTGCCAAAATTGCATCCAGAAATGTCATTTTTGGGACATGTTTCACCTTATAACTGCCTTCCAACATCTGAAGGGAACCCCCAGGAAGGCTGGGGAGGGACTTTTTACAAATATGTCCAGCAATAAGTCAAGGGGAAATGGATTTAAATTGAAGAAGAACAGGTTTAGGTTGGATCTTAGGAAGAAATTCTTCAGTCTGAGGGTAGCAAGACTCTGGAATTGATTGCCCAGAGAGGCGGTGGCTGTCCCCTCTCTGGAGATGTTTAAGGCCAGGTTGGATGAGGTCTTGATCAACCTGGTCTATTTAAGGGTATCGGGGAGGTTGGATTAGATGGCCCCTTCCAACCTGAGACATTCGATGATTTGATGATTATTTGATATCCAAGAAAGGAGAATGTGGGACAGACGTGGCTCAATTCATGCAGAACCCTTCTACCTTTTTCCCACTAGAAGAGATAGTTACTGCTTTGTGGCAACTTTAGTCTATTTGAAGAGTGACATTAGCAGCTTTGCCTTGTAAACTCTTGTATAAAGTACATTATTGTGTGTCCTCTTCCAAGAGGACATGTGGCACACAATTAAAAAAAGAAAAAAAGGCATAACCAACAGGGTTATCTTCCTGGGGAGAAAAGGAAGCAAAGGTAGAATAAAGATGCTGGGGTATAATTTCTAGGGTCCTACGTTGCTTGCTGGAGCACATGTCATCAAGGCAGACACAAGCTGAGGTTTGCCTTGCTCCTGCAGAGAGCAGGACCAGGCCCTGCTGACCAAGTATGTGCTTATCCCTTAATTTGAAATGAGGAACTATGGAAGCTCTGACACATTCTTTCTGTTATGGGGAAACTGAGCACTGAGACATAAGATGCTCATAGTCACTTGCGGAAAGAGGCAACAGACCAAGCAGTGCTCCGAGGGAGAGCTGATGCTGACAAGCGTATCCCTTGTGGTTATTGTTTGTGGATTTGACAAACTTCTTCCCTGTTTGAGCCCAGTCCAGATCAGTCTCTTCATCCGGCCTTGATTCTTCCCATTGAACACTAAAACAACTTGAATTTCTAGGGGTTAATCTGGAAAAAGGATGTTTTCTTTTTACCTACAACCCAGCTTGAGGACTGGGTCTGCTCTGCTGTGTGTGCAATGGGTATCTGGTGGCTCTTGCAGTCTGTAGGTTGGGCAGGCTCCAGGGAGCCGTATGGAATAAAAGATCACCATGAAAATATTCCTGAACACTCTCTTTTCTAGGTAAATGTCTTGTAAGTTGCTTATCAATTTTTTCCATGTTCTTTTTGAATGTTAATTCTTTAGGTTTCCATCCGCAAAGAAGAAACTAAGTCACATGGATTTCTGATGCTTCATCTGATTTTATTTTAGCTTTAAGATACAGCTGTGCACAGGTAGTAGAATATACTTCTTGGTAGTAAAGTGACTAGAGAAGAATTAAAATTACCAGCTGCTGAGGATGCATAAAACTGTCAGCTTTCATTTCTGATCTCAATGAAGGAATCAGTAAGTTCTTTCTTCGTGGGGAAGCAGAAGGCAGAGAAGCCAAAGGAGTCTTTTGTGAGCAGACAATCAGTTTTGTATGTGTTAAGTTTTATGAGTAGATTTCACTCAACAGCTGCATTTCTCCATGTTTTTGAATGTGTGAGAGAGAGAACCCTTAAAACATACGAAAAAGAAACCCACAACCCTTCTTTTAAATTACCCATCCATGGACTGGGCATACTTTTGAGTGATCATCTTTCTCCACCACTTTAAAAGTGCAGGTCACCTTGTTGAAAATGCTTATGCACTTCTCTGTATCGTAGTTAGCAGGACGTGGATGGCTATAATTGGGAAAAGAAAAAGAAAAAGGTGATGAGACCGAGAAGTAAACAGCTTCCATTTTAGATGGAATCTACACTTTTAATAGGAAGAGGCTATACTGAGGAGGTGTTCAGAAGCAAAAGGAGAGCTTACACAAAGCTCCCAGATAAAATGTTAATTAATCTGCTGCTTAAGTAGGATAAGGGGAGAGTTGTAGTTTGCTTATCTGATTTATGGCAAAGAGATGTGTGTTGTTTTTATTTACTACTCCAGTATCATTGTTTTTTCTCTTCCACCAAAGTATGGAACACGAATTGAATGAGTTGTTTGGTGTCGCTATTGGGTATAAATTTGTGATATGGTGTGAGTGAGAGAAGAGTCACGGTCATTCCCAGGGACTCCTCTCTGAAGGGAAGTGGTTTGTGCTGTGTCACAGCAACAGAGGAAAACCCTCACTACTGCTCTGAACTCACTTGTTGCAGCATTCAATTCCATCCTCAAAACAGTAGCAACGCAAGCAGCTACCCATCATCCATCTGGAACCCATTAAATGTGTCTTTCCTTTCGAGTCACGGCAGCCTGAAAACAGAACGTGCAAGCAACCTTCAGTGTCAGACCTATGACGCTAACAATGCTATTGCTTGTACAAAATGGGTGTGATCTTGCTTGTTATTTTGCATTAACATTCCTATCTGGCAAATATGGAGGTTCCCCGACAGAACAGGACTGCTGCTATTCTAATGCGTGGAGCAGGGTGTCCTGGGTTGCTTTCTTTCCTATGTTACATGATCTGGAAAGCAGGATTTTAGGAGACCAGGACAAGACAGAGTGGAAGATTTGGGGGTTTTAGGCTGTGTCTTTATCTATGAATATGTTCTGTTTCTTTGGCAATGTTAACTCATTTTTCTAGTACTAGCACTAGCTTTCCCAGAAAAAGCTCTATTTTGGGGCACTTGGTTTATTTTGCAGGCTGGTACACATCAGCTCTTCTTGTGTCCAAATGACTGTATATTTCTTTTCTGAGCACATAGTTTCCTGCAGGTCCCCTCCCCTGTAGACTGATGGACTAGCTGTGTTCAGAAAGAGCAGCCCCAGATTTAAAGAACTTGGCTTGGGATAAAGAAACCACTAATGAATAAATTGATCAGTGTGCTGAACACTTGCCAATCTATTTCCTGCTTGACACACATAAAGGCCCTGTTCCTTCCTTCTCTGTATTTCCAAATACGCTGCCATAGTGAAAACATGAATTATTACTTCATGCAGATGAATAAACTAAGTCTATGCTACACCCATGGACAAAATTAATTTGTCATTTGGCCTCTGTGATACTCTTCAGATAAACCCTTCTTTTTTATAAGATATTATAAATTTCCTGCCCTCCATACCCCATCTGCCCCCCACCACTCCACCCCATTTGCTAGTAGTTTCTCTCCACTGCTTCTGCTTATTTCTAAATTGTGATAAATTGCAGGGACTGGAAAAGTCAGATCAAGCAGCAATTGGTGAATGTGGCGATGCTTGTCAAGTTGAGGACAGTTGACTTCTTACCTATGATCTCCCCATTAGATTTCACTGGCTTCAATGGCTCAAAGGAGCAACCAGCATTAGACAGTGGCACGCTGATGGCAAGGACAAGAAGGGAAGCCAAGGCGGTTTTCTGCACAGGAAAGAAGAATTTATTTGAATACTTATGTAACCATTACGATGTCTGGGTGAAAAATACTACCACTAGAAATAGGAATATGCATTGTGGTTTCAAATCAAAATCTTGTTGTCTTTTGCAGTTCAGACACTTCAACACGCAACTGGCAATACTGAACCATTTAGAGGAAGAAGCAGCTGAGAATAGTGGGGGAGGGGAAAAAAACCCTGTCTTCCCAAGCTATTAAAATAAAGCATTGCCTAGTACAGCTCCAGCGGACCAAGACATTGTGTGTGAAAAGAGTGTGTTCTGTTCCCTTCCCCTTCCCCTTCATTTTTCTCATCCTTATTTTCTTCGTAGGATAGGTCATTGAGTGTCTCTGTCACTAACCTCACTCACAGTTGTAAAAACTTCTTCTCTTGAGCCTGAAGAACCAACTGGATGTTTCACCCTAATATTGAAGGATTAGGAACTTGCTGAAGAATTTTAGCTCAAGTTGAATGCTCTAGATTTGACCCTGCTTTGAGCAGGGAAGTTGGACCAAATGATATACAGGTGTCCCTTCGAACCTAAATAATGCTATATTCTATGACCTTTGTCAGCAGCTTCTTTTGAAAGTTTGGCTTAAATTCTGCAGCTAGTCTGTTATCCTTCAATACTAGTTTGAACCGTTTGAAGGGCTTTCATTAGGGATATGAAAGAACTACGTGCAAGAACTGTAGGACAGATTTAGCTGTGATGAATTGAAAATCTGGGAAGAAGATGAGGAACAAACAGTGACATACACACACATTCTATGTAAGTGTGTTTGTTTTGGACAAACTAAAACAGCTCACTTGTAAAAAGAAGTCATACCTGAGAGATGACAGGAGGGAAAACTAGCATTTTATTTTGCAGAAGAAAGGTTAAAGCCCACATATCTGCAGCAGAGCTGCAAATGAGTAAAAATTGAGATAACGTAAATGTTCAGATGTTATACAAATGAAGGCCTGTTCTAGGCTGAGACACAGTAGAGCATCTTTCTGCCAGAAAATGAATTATCTCCAAATGTTATATTTAAGTGAAAGCAGGTTATAAAAAAAAAAACAAAAAAAAACCCCACAAAACCTTAGTAGGAGTCCTGTTAGATGTTTTCTGCCATAGACATTCTTAACTGCTTGAGCCTATGAGTCTGACTTTTGCTTTCAAAACACAGAATTTATACTTTTTCCAAGCTGCTTACATTTCTGAGTACTGAGATACATCCAACAAAATCTCCTTTAAAATCTATAGAAACACACCATAGTCTTTTACAGTATCAGACAGAAGGACTCACCATTCTTGCAGGATTATCAGGCTTCCAGTAAGGAAACGTATCTTCTCTGAGAACTTATATATAGAGGGAATTTATGATACCGGTCCTTGAGCAAACCAAACATGCACAAATAACTCCAATGAGGTTTCTACAAAATGACCTCATGGGGTGGTGATTATTAAAATAAGCCAAGTATAAACAGGAGGGTTTGGTTCTACAGGCACTGAGGAAATAGGTGGGGCTTTTGTGCCAAACCAGATCTGGAAAGTAATTACAGGAAGTACTTTGGAAGGAATTTCAAGCCTGGAGAGAATATTTAGCACACACCCTGAGAAACCCTTTAGAGACATTGTGGATGTCACAACAAAATAGGCATGCTTAGTTTGAACCCTCTAGGTTTTAAAAGAGAGGAACTTTGTATAATCATTCAGCTTTCTTGTTCATCAGCTGAAGATGAAAAAAGGCTTTTGTGGAAGAGGAGTGGTGGTTGGAAAAGCAGGTTTCTGTGGAGCGTGAGCGCTCCTTAGAGAAGGGGTCATAGAATCATAGAATGGCATGGGCTGGAAGGGACCTTAGAGATCATCTAGTCCAACCTCCCTGTTTTGGGCAGGGACGCCACCTCTCAACTAGACCAGGCAATACATGGGGACCAACCTTAGGAAAGGGTCCTAGATAACCATTTTCTTCCTTGTTTAGTTTGCCATCACATAGAAGGCCCATATGCTCAGGTCCTCTGTGGGAAAACAAGCGTCATGTATGGTCTTCCTCAATTCCTGTAGCCAGGGGGAAATGCTGTCTTTTTTGCTGAGGCTGTGCATGTCAGGGGCAGGCACATTTCCCAAGTGCTTAGGACAGTAATTTGATAGCAAAGCTCTTAGGTATAGTCTCGTTCTGCTTAGATTTCATCTAACTGTTTCAAATGCTTCAAACTCTGTAGCCCTGGTAGGTGAAAAAGTCTTCCCCTTATTAGCAGGGCTGCACAATTTGAAATACTTGAACTAACTATTCTGACTGCCTAATTGTGTTGCCTTGTTGTGTGGGTTTGGGAGCAGAGGTGGGTATTCCGTGTCTTCTACTCAAACTCCAGAGCTGAGAACAAGCTCAGGAAGTCCATGTGAGAAAGACAAATTTATTTTCTTTTTTTATCGCAGTGCAGATCATGGTCACAAGGACATCTTAGCTGCCTTCAACTCAGTAGGTTGGGTAAGTTGTTTTTTTTCCTACGGTTGTCAAATCTTTCTTCTAGATGGCAGAAAGAGCTGAAGTGTTTGCAGGCATTTATTGGTTTGATAAATTTGCCCACAATCCCGCTCTCATTAATAAGTTGGATTTGCTAGTGCTGATGTATGCTCTGCCCTGAAACAAATGACTAACACCACAGCCAAAAGGCTCATCGTGCCTTTGACTCCTAATCACTCTTTGGATCTCTCACAAATAAGTATGAAGCCATTTTAACAGCATCACTGTGGTTTCAGACACTGTCAGTGTCTCAGAGGAGGTATTTCAGAGCATATAATTTTTTATGCTAAAGGAGAGAAATAGAGCTGAGTAGTATAACAAAATAAAACACCTTGATCCTAGCCCAAAGCTCCTTTTGTGTTGGCTGCAGTGAAGATGGGGAGAGTTTGCATTCTCCTTTCCACTGTCCTGTTCCTGTGTTGCTTGACCTAATTCATGTACATCTGTGAGATGGCTACAGAAAGGTCCTAGCTTTGCATGCTTGCCCTCTGCAAGCTTCACGAGCTGAGAAGTAACTATTTAACTTTGGCTGACAATACTGCAGGATTTGCAATAGAGCCCTGTTCAAGATAGGGGCTCCTCTAGGTCCTCAAAGGTAATCTGGAGCAAGTATTCCAAGAGGGTTTACAAGAAAAGGACTGTCAGATTGCATTGCCTTAATTCTCTTAATATGACTGAGATATTTATTTCTTTTATTCCATGTTGTGGAGTCTGCATGCAATATTTTACCTGATAGGCGCCCTGCAGCAATTCTTGTCTGTGAACAAAAGTCACTAGACATGTAGCTATTTGTGATGCTGACGTACTGGAGCGAAAATTGTGGAATTTGTTACAGTCAGAACCCAGTCAGCTTGCTGGTTTGGTGCTGAGTGACACAGAACAAGTTTGCTGCTCAACTTCGAAACCCCAGCCAATGGACAGATGTGTTTTCTCTCCCATCTTCTCAGACAAGCAGTGACCACCTAGATAGTCTCATTGGAGAGCCCTCCCTGCTTTTCGGGTGCAAGCTATGCCAGGTATGGAGAAAAGTTCCTGCAAGGAGCTTTCTTTGGAACACAGCAGGGAGTGACCTGTCTAAGCCTGGGCAGTGTGTAGGGACAGTGAAGAAGCTCTTTGCGTAATCTGTGCTATCAGGGGACCCCGACAACATACTGAGGTGCTGAAACCACTCAGAACAGCAAACTTTATGTAGATAGTGCATTCAGATGTTGAGACGGATCAGCTTTCTGCAGGAGAGAGTAAGTGCAGGACTCCTCATAGAAGACAGGTTCGCATATCTGGTCATTAAAACCAGTAGGTTGACTAGAACTGCCGCTGAAAGGAGGAAGCAAGAGGAAGCGTGAGGCAGATCAACTCATAGATCATAAGTAAACACAATTGTACAGATAAATTTGTCTTGACCTTAAAGTGACGATGTTATGTATAACCTGATAATGCTGTGTACGTTGGTTTTACAGCTGTTAAACAAAGTCTGCTGCAATTGCACGTGAGAAAGGACAACTGTTTTAAGAAAAACCGTTAGCAAACAGCACTAAAATATACGGTGCGTTGTACACACAGAAGCACCTTGTAAATGCAGTAGAAGGAAGTTTTACCTTGGTGGGAAAACTTTTGTGAACACTGAGACTCAAATACCTGCAAACATCAAAGCCTGTGCCCTTAGACCTCTCCTGGCACAGGAATTAGTGAAGAATTATATTCATATTACAGGCAAGGGGCACAGATGGTGCTAGTGACTTGTTCTAGATAACAGGGGGCATCGCAGAAATTTGAATTGAGGTCTCGATTCAAGCTGGGAGGCCCAAGCTGAAGACAACAATTTCATTTCCGCCATGATCCTGAACACCACTGTCCCCCTCCATGTGTAGCAGAGTCCTCATCCCTGGACCAAATTTCAGATTTTAACTCAATGCAATTTCTGTGAGATGAGAAACACTACATTTTTTTCACCCATTTAGTTCTGTGGGTAAGCAAAGTTCCCTCTTGCTAAGGCAGAAACGCATTTATTTAAAACACACGGTGATTCCTCAGCCAGTCTGGAAAAGTCTGTCAGGTTGTGATCCCCAGATGAAGGGGATCCCCAGTGCTAAGCAAGGGACAGAGAGACAGACAAGATCTCAAGAACAAACTGAAAATGCCGAGCTGTGTTTGAGAGGAGGAGACCTGCATCTCTGCAGCATGGGTAGTGCTGAGGAAGATAGCTACAGATACCAAGGCAGCAAGGACAAAAGTCCAGAGGCAGTAAAACAAAATGGATAAGGTATGACAGAGCTAGGCAAAAAGAGATCTCCAATTTGTGGGAAGTCCAATATTTCCTACACTTCTGACTCAAGCCATCCCTAACAAAAAAGATCTCAGAAATCTCCTGTGAGACAGAAAATGACAGAAAAGTTTATTCTTATTATGAAAAAGTTTATTTTTATTATGAAAAAACACAGTGATTTCCAACACACCTTGATATTCCAGCCCTGCAACTCATTAAGCAAATGAATATTGTAACTCTATGAAGAACTAAAGACTTTCTTGTGGAGCCGTGTCTTAAGGAGTTAGCTACAGGAAAGGTGGCTGGTGGGAGTGTTGCTGTAGTTCTTGCCCGGAGTGCCTCTGGCTTTGTGGATCTTAGGTGGTGCAATAATGGACCCCACTCTGGCCTCACTGGCACTGGAAGCATGTCTTTGGTCCTCCAGGTGGCACCAAATAGATGCAGTCTAGTTTTACGCTGTTAGTTATTTAGTTGAGCAACTACAGGCTTTTCTTTTTTGGGGGGGTGGGTGGGAGAGGGGGCAGAGAAAGCTCAGTTAATATTGTGGATACCCCACCAACCTTGTATTTCAGCTCTATTTAGATGGTATGGGCTTGGTTCCACCTTCTAAACTTGTTAGTCACTGATTCCATGAAGATAACACACAGTGGTTGGATATTATTGCTGCACGGTCTAGAAACAGACTGTGGTGGGGAGGGCAGCTACAGAATGCTTCAGCCAAAACCACTATTTGTCTTGGCCGTTGGGATCTTTTATCCTTTTTCTTCTCTCCTGTTTGCACTGTAATGCATGAAATCCTGCTTCTTGCCATTTCTTATCCTACACTTTTCCTGTCTGCTCCTGATGGGCAGCAACTAGAACAGTACATCAAGAGGCCTGTTGGGGCTCTTATCTCTAGCAAGCTTCACCAGAATTGCACCTGGGCTGTTTAGCTCATAACAGCAGTACTCATTGCATGTGGTGTCAAGAAGAAAGCCCAGGAAACACTGCTGTAAAACTCCACAGTGTCTGGGACTACATCTTGAAGGTATTTTAACAGTTACTGAGAGCATACTTGTGCTAGGAGAATTGATTTCCTGCTCCTTAAGAAAGCAAACAGGACTCAGAGCATGTGAAAGGCTTTATGTAAATTTTTTTTTTCAAAAAATGACAGCTGGCATTTTATTTTTGTTGTTCTTTCAAATGTGAAATAGGTTGCAGCTCAAATGCATGTGTGGTATTGCCATGGCTCTCTGATCACATACCTTTCAACCAATTGACTCCAAGGGCTATGAAATCTTAAGACTCTGAAATTTGGACTTATCATGATAACAATGTCTTGTTCCTAAGGAGCTCTTGTAGGGCCTGGCTGGTGTTTCCTGCAAGGGTGAATATAAAAAAGGCAAAAAAAATTATTCTTCAGTGTCTTACCAAGCAAAACAAACCCCAAAATATTTCATGTTTGGAGGTTGGGATTTCTGAGGAAGTTACTGATATTCAACTAGTAATCAATAAATGGTTTCATGAATGATGGAAAACTGGACTGGTACCTCTCTGTGTTTCTGCCCTACACATCTTCCTCATCTTTGGTAGTTCACAAATAATGACAAGGATTCAAAACAGAGGGTGAGTTATAATCATCCTGCTTTCCTGCAGATGGATCATCTCAAGAATGCAGAAAAAAAACCAACCCCCCCAAAATCGCCTGTAGCAATGCTGTTACGCATTTTCCTTCTCAGTAGATAGACTTGCCAGTTTATAGCAAGAGAGGTTCAAGATTCCCGAGCTTCATTGTTAAAACTGTTTCCTTTAGAGGAAGAAAAGTAGTTTCAGTAGCACCAGCTGCTCTGGCAATAGAAACCCCAATATAATTGCATGTTGACACTGAAAGATCTCTTTCTTTAAAATATCTGGAGGGAATTTCTGGGTTTCAGTGAAACTGGACCATTCTCTGGAGCCTCTGGGCAAGTTATTTCTCTATTTCCTTGGCCTGGTAAACTCACCAGAGTTCATTGTGTTGCTTGTCAGGAGTCAGCTCTTGTTTGTCCTGGGCTGCTCAGATTCTGCTTCAAGTTTATGTGGTGGAGGAGGTAACACTGCAGTGGAAGGTGGGCTTTCCCACCCGTGGATAACTTCTGGAAGGATGTGCTAATCATATTGGTCAAATGTACTGGTTCTTGCCAGCCCCATCACCTTAAAGAATGTATTAAGCATGAGATCCAAAGCCTGTGCAACATTTCTTATTTCAGTCACTCATGCCTGTTTACTGATGCTGTCAGCAAATCAGAAATCTCCTTGCATGAGAAAGTAGGCTTCATCTGTAAGAAAACTGACACCAATTTTCTAGAATAACTGTTGGGACTCTAGGAGGTAAAAAGGTTCAGAACTGTAAGGAATGAGAGCGGCTTGTGCCAGGGTACTGGTGCACAGCATGTTGGAGCAGTGAGGGGAATGCACTCCTTTCTCAAAGAAGGTGATGTTGCCCCATGTTATTACATAATGAGAACCATCATTACGAAATATTTCTGGATGTTTCATTTGGATTTATTGTCTTCAAAATAGTTTGGTGATACCAACACGAGTAATGACAGAAATGAGATATTGTATCTGATTATGCATCCTGTATACTGAATTAGAACAATTAGGAGACTAGAAGAGCTTAGAAGAGCTGCTGAAGTACTCTCTCTTACAAGATATCCCATGTCTTCAAGCTTCTCCGTGATGGCAAAGCATCTGCAGGAAGAGGAGGAATTCCACGATGTGGAGAGCTTTGGAACAGGTGGATTGTTAGCCCACACGAGAATAAACAAAACACTCCTCTGAGGGGTTATGTCTATTCACCACGTCATAGTTACAGCTTTCCTTGTTGAAAACAACTTTACAATTTTCTTTGTCGTAACCAATAGGAGTGTGAAAGCTGTCATTGGGAAAGAGAAAGCAAATGTTAGATTGAGAACAATAAGAGATTCAACACTGGTTCAGTGATTACAGTTTGAACTAATGATGAGTGAGAGATCTCTAAAACTATGCCTAATACCAGCCCAGGTACTTTGAGTGCCACACAGCTACAGCTTTCAGGGCCTCAGTTGATGCTGTGCTGCACCGCACTGTGTAGATGTACCCGTATGCTCAGCCCTGGCACATGGATTTCTAGCACAGCACTCTACAGTGTGCCATAAGCATAGTCTTGGCATGTTTTACCCCTTTTCCATTGATTTTTCATTATTGCCTGTTTGCTTAGAATGTGGTAGCTGTTCTCTAGTAGATCGAGTGTTACCTGAGCAAAGGCGATGATCATAATCAAGCCATTTTGGCCCTTTAAGAAGGCAGGATAAGAGGAGAGGAGGATGTTGGAGAAAGAGATCTGAGAACAGAGCCTTGTCACTCTTGGGTCAGCATGTTCACTGGAGAAAAGCACCTCCAGAAAGGGATTCAGATCATCATAAGCCCTTTAGAGGAGCTTCTTTCTAGTCCCTTCTGGAATTATTTCCTTCATATATCCACTTTCCCTGCTAAGGAAAGACTTAACTGCAGTGTTAGGAAGGGTTCATCAGTTCCTCAGAATTGAAGGCAAGCATCAACTGAATGTGTCTGGAAGGGCCAGTGCCCAGTCCCGTTGTGTGAGCTAAGGGAAACACAGCCAAGGATGCAAATGACCAAGACCTATACACGGCTTGCCCTAGGTCTGTGAAATGGGTGAGGAAAGGCTCTCTCGTGCCCTTAGAAACTCAGTTATCCTTAGCATATGGAAAGCTGTGGTTTTCCTGTGGGCAATTATGCTACCAAAAAGTCCAAACTTACAGGGAGCAGCAACTTAATGAACTTGGGCTGCAGCTGCATCTGAAGCAATTTTTGGTCCTCTCAATTTGCCCAAAGGGGTATAGCTTTCCATCCACGATACAGCCTGCATAAGACAGCAGCAAAACAAAACATGTTCTTTAAGCCTTCACATAAAAGTCAAAATGTTTAAAAATTATTTTGAGTTTTGTGAAAATGGTTTTCTTGGCAATAGTAAAATAGAAATCATTTTATTCTCTGGATTATTACCCAGACTATTTTGGGAGCCTGAACTTGTTTCTTCTTCACTTTTTAGAGACCGTTTCAGTGTGAGTGATCTGGGGTGAAAGAGGCAACCAAACAGCGAGATCTGCCATCTGGCACCAGACTTTACTCGAAACTGCTCTCAACTCCTCCATCAGCACCACGTGCTGGAATAGCAATAGCAACCTACAACCAATAGCAATAATCTTGCTGAAACCATAGGCAGTCCAGGGGAAGACTGTTTTTTCCATACTTCTGGTAACTTACTGGAACCTCGTCTTCATGTCTTTCTGACATCTTCCCTTATATTTTGAGCCCATGTCTTTCTGACATCTTCCCTTATATTTTGAGCCCTTCCTGGCAGCTCCACATAGAGACAAGCCACCACAGAACAATTAAGAGAGAAGACCTTCCTTGTTCTTACCTTTGTCAGCCTCCCCTGGCTTGTTAAGTTTAGAAAAGCAGTATCCGTCGCCCAGTGGCACCATGATGCCCGTTGCAACAAGGAAAGCCAGAAAGCTCTTCTGGAAAAGAGACAGAGCCCACGGCCTGAATTTAATTCCACTTTGATTATCTTTGTTCTTAAAAGCAAAGTCACTGAACCTGAAGCAAAAATTAGAAATAACCTTATGCATACATGAAAATGTGGAAAAAAAGGCACTCTTGATATTTCACTGTCGTTGTAGAGACAGACACGACACAACTGAATGGTATTAGAATGGCTCAGAAATGGTTCCTTTATTACAGAAAGGGTGTGCCTTTTATACATAGTCGAAGGTACTAGAAGAAGGTAGCGTGGCCTTTGCTTATAGGTCAAACACTTGTTTTTCACATTCTAATTGGGTAACAATTAGCAGCTTCTGGCTGGGCTCATCCCCCCGGATCTTGAGGGAGAAAGTTCTGCACATGTGTCCAAACTAAGTACACACAACTTCCCATCTTAAGGGTACACTGGGAATTTGTCAAGGTCAATGTCTTCAACCAATGCCAGGTTACCAGCAGTCCAGCTGCCATCCCCCACATTTCACTGCAATGATGACTTTATCCTTTAGGCAGGAAGAGACTAAATGATATGCTATGTATGTGTCAGCAGTATCACTCCCTGCCAAAGTCCAATCTCTAGAAATTACAAAAAGCCTCAACAGTATTATACACTTGAAAGTTCTGTCAGACTCTTATTAGTGCTTTTAATAACTTTGAGTCAGATTTAGCTATTTCTCCAGAAAATCACTGTCTGCATAGCATCCCATTGCTTCGTTTTGGGGTACAGCAACTTCTCCAAATTTGATGGTGATGTGGAGATTTCAAACCTAACTATAGTCCAGTAAGTTTTGTAAGCAGGTGTCTAGATAAAGAAGAGAGACACAAATTAGTGTCTTAAGGTACAATTCTAGTGCTGTACATTCTGCTTATCAGCATGTGAGCCATCTTGTCAAACCATGCCCACACAGGTCTGGATATGTCACTGTACACCCTTCCTTTTGTCTAGTGGTAGCAACAGCTAAACATCTCTATGAGCTCTTCAGAGATGTCTGCTGGGACCTGCTGAATCTTTTGAGAAAGCCTGCAGAACTTTGTAATGATTGTACTGAGGTAGATGGATCAGAGAAGCATGAGAGAGCACAGTGTTATTTTGGTGGCTTGCTCAGGCTGGTTAACTTAAGGCAAAATTTGTCCTGCTTTGTCTTCTCAGTGAGAAGCAATGAAAGGAAATTACGTGAATTTTCTTGGTAGCACTTGCAGATTAACATGAAAGGATTGCAAAATGAGTAGATCTTTCCAAGTTACTCTTGTGAACTCCAGAGGCTACTGCTACCTAGAAGTGGGGTTTAAAATAGCAGTGAGATGCCATGGTTTCAGGCATCTCTACTGCCCACCTGAGTTTACTAGAATCATAAATATCAAAAGACACAGAAAAGTCTCGAACTTTAGACAGGTAGCAAGTCAAGGGGAATCTCCTCTGTCTGTGTGGAAAAAAAATTGTTATTTTAATCCTTGATGTGCTGCTTTCTTGCAAGGCTGAGGGACATTTACGGCGTGGTAAAAGGGCAGAGGATGATCTATGGAATCATTTGGGAATAGTGTAATATTTAATTTCCATAGCAGTTCTGCGATTTGGAGTTCCTGAGGCTTTGAAGTAGAGTAGAGCCAATAGCTAGAATGAGAGTAGTTAAGAAGAAAGACTGAAATTCTTGAAATGTGTTACTCTGTGGTGCCTGGCCAAAGGGAAATTATCCAAGCAACTCCTGTTCCTGGTCTCTGCTGAGGCTCCATGTGCATCTGGCACAGATCTGTGGGGGTATCTGTGCTGTGCAGCTATTTGGAGCTTTGTGAGCTGAGGGAATCATGGCTTGCCACAGCGTATCTCAACATGCCTGGGGTACTGCTTACTGTGCATTAGTCATCCACCTTGACTCTGGCAGTTGTTTTCCTTCAAATGGGTTCAGGTGTTCGCAACAGTACAGGCCAGAGATCTTACTGCTGTTACTCATGTCTTTGTAGAAACGACTAAAACGTTTCTTTTGCTGTGCTAGGCTGTTATCTGTGAATGTTTTACCCTTTGTTTGTTCCAACATTTGTCCTTATCTTGCCATTCTGAGAAATGCCAGTCAGATGAACTTGGGCATGCTCCTCTCCCTAATGACCAAAGTTCTGTACTGATTCTGCACTGATTCTAAACAGAAACAGAAGAGGAAGTCTGTCGAGTCTAATTGTTGTCTGAACTGGCTTGTTGCTGGAACAACTTAAGGATACATCAGCTAAGCAACAGATGGCGTAAGGTAAAGGGCTCACATGTAAGTAGGCTGAGCAGAGAGGGTATTGAACGGGTAAGAAAGCACTGGTAGAAGCAGTATCCTTTATTAAAAATGGCAGATTATTACTGCTTTACTGATGCCAAAGGCTCTTAGCTAAACATCACAGTTGTGTTGTTCTGGGTCATCTGTGAGCAAGGCTCTCCAAGGAATATTCTTGGGGTTTTTTTATGTTTGCTCTCTGAAAAAGGGGATGCAACCAGCTCTCTTGGAGAACAGACTCTTCCAAATTGGATTTAATGGCCTTGGAAAGCAAGTGAATGAATGTGGAATGAGATACCAGATCATTTTGTTCAACTAAGACTTGTCTGAGTGCAGACAAGCCTTCAAGAAAGCTTAGGCAAAGAAAAAAGTAGATAATACCTTCTCCTTTTATTTATGAATCTACATATATTAGAGAAAATACTGCCTCTTCTATAAAACTTGTGCCATTCCTGAGATTCTAATAAAATGTAGTAGTTCATGTCTGTACCTTTGGGGAATATCTGAGCATAAATTAGAGGAAAATTGGCCTATAGGGCTTTGTCTATCCATTTAGCATTACCTAATTTTTGATTCAGATTCTGCAAACACATTTGGAAGCTTGAAGAGCTGAAACAGGTCACAACTTGATAGATCAAAAGAGAAATGTAGACAAAATACTATCTTACATTTTTCACTGTCAACTGATTACATTTTAAACTGTATTTCACAACTATAGGTTTTAAGAGCATGATCCTAAATGTTTTCAAAAATCTGAATATTTTCTCAAACATTTCTGAGAAAAGGATAATAGCAAATGAAAGGCCAAGAGATACATGTGTACAGTCACAGCAATCTTCATGTCACAGTAATCTTCCTAAAGGTGTCTTGCTTTCTTCACATCTTGCAGGTTTTTAATAGAACGTATCATGGAATTGTAGAATGTTCGGGATTGGAAGAGACCTCTAGAAATTATCTAGTCCAACCCCCCTGCTAGAGCAGGATCCCCTAGGGCAGCCACACAGGAACGCGTCCAGGCAGGTTTTGAAAGTCTCCAGAGAAGGAGACTCCACAACCTCTCTGGGCAGCCTGTGCCAGTGCTCTGTCACCCTCACAGCAAAAAAGTTTCTCCTCATGTTGAGGTGCAACTTCCTATGTTCTTAATTAAACCCATTATTTCTTCTTCTAATGCTGGGCACCACTGAGAAGAGATTGTCCTTTTTCTCTTGCTCAGATATTTATATATGTTAATAAGACCCCCTCTCAGTCAGCATCTTTCAAGTTTAAACAGCCCCAGTTCTCTCAGTCTCTCTTCATAGGAGAGATGTGCAAGTCTCTTAATCATCTTCATAGCTTTGTTGGACTCTCTCCAGTAGGTCCCTGTCTCTCTTGAATTGGGGAGCCCAAAACTGGACACAGTATTCCAGGTGTGATCTCACCAGGGCAGAGCACAGGGGGAGGAGAACCTCCCTAGACCTCCTGGACACACTTTTCTTAATGCACTCCATATTGGCCCTCAAGGGCACATTGCTGTCCCATGGACAACTCACTGTCCACTAGGACTCCAAGGTCTTTCTCCACGCGGCTGCTTTCCAGCAGGATGACCCCTAATTGGTACTAGTGCCTGGTGTTACTCCTCCCCAGATGCAGGACTCTACACTTGTCTGTATTGACCTTCATGAGGTTCGCCTTCATCCAGCTCTCTAGCTTGTCCAGATCTCCTTGGATGGCAGCACAGCCTGCTGGTCTATCAAGCACCCCTCCCAGTTTTGTATCACCAGCAAACTTGCTGAGGGTGCACTCTATCCCCTCGTCCAGGTCATTGATGAAGATATTGAACAAAAGTGGACCCAGTACTGATCCCTGGGGAACACCACTGGCGACAGGCCTCCACGTTGACTCTGGACGGCTGAGCACAACCCTCTGAACTCTTCTTCTGAGCCACTTCGCGATCCACCTCACAGTCCTTATTTAAAAATGCGTATATAGGTGATACTATTAAATATCCTTCCTTTGCAGTCTTAAAGCAAATAGCTATCTGTACCCACATTAAAAAAATAATAAAATAATCTAAACCTTTGACTTACCATTGTGGAATGCTTGGCTTCCAAAGAACTCCAAGTGTCCAGAAGTATTCTGCCAGTGCTTTGTACGGAATTGGAGAGTAAATAATTTATGAAGCCTTTAAGTTGAGCAATTCAAGTCTAGGAGAAAAAAGCTTACCCAACTCAAATGCAGTTATGTTGAAATTTCTGAAGAAATCACTGAAATTTTGCCAGCTGGCAATGAGAAATTGTTTGATTCTGTAGAGCACTGATGTGGGTAAAATGTCGAACATGGAACTTTGTGTTCCTTGAAAGTATTATGATTAGAAGAAATATTTTTCTGATTATATATAAGTATTGATAGCTATGCTGTAGACATTGATAGATTTCAGAGTGCTAATCAAATACTCTGCTTTCTGTTATTCCTGTAATCTCTTTTCAGAGTGAAATAACAGTCTGTGGCCCTACCTATGTTTCAAAAAGAAATCTTGTGTTAAAGATGCTGGCAAGCAATTTGAAACTTGTTCCTGTGGGAGATTTGTCACCAGCTACAGGAAATCTGGAATATGATTTCAAAATTACATTTAGAAACTTTGTACAAATAAATCCAATAAAATGTGGCTAAAGCTGATGTTTTTTGAAAAAGTATAAACACATTAAATACTTCGGATTTGTGGATTTGTGTCAAGAAAAGTTGTCATTCATTTCCTTCTATGCGCTATGTATTTCTGAGTGCAAATAGTAATTAATTTGAGTTTTAGATGTATTCAATCAAAAAAATTCA